CCAGGTCCCATTTTGGCTGCGTAACTTATCGCGTGTGGTATGTAGTTTTGTTCGTAGTTTCCGACGAACAGATGAGCCCACGGACCCGAAGCGAAAACTGCGACATCGTCGCCACCGTGTGTCTCCCACGTCAAATTTACCATCGACGGAAACCGGTATTCGGGTTGATCTGTGTAAACAATTTTCAAACAAATTCAAAATATATTTATTTAAACAATTAATAAGTTCAAAAAAATTCGTGGAAATTCGTTTTCACGTGGATATCCTAAAACATAGTGTAATTATTTTCTCGTGCAGAACGTACGGATCTATTTGATAATAGGTATATCATTATCTATTCCACTGACTAAATCAATTTTAAAATAAATTAAGTGATCATCGTCATATGCAATCGTGACTTTTAGCCTTAAGGTCAGCAAAAGGTTAGTTTAAAAATATTTTCTATTGTCATTATATTAGAATACACTAATATAATTTAAACGGCAAATATTATGGACACGCGTAACATTCCAATGATGCATTACGGAATTCAAAGCTTTCAAACAAGGATCSCTGGGTTAGCGTCCTCCTGAAATCACCTCTCTACGAATATCGAAATACTAATTTCAGGGCCTCTGCGCAAATAATGCGTTTGTAGCGGGCGCCTAATTCCAACGGTGCCAAAACACCATGGGGATTAAGCACGTACGAAATACGATTAGAATTAATAAATTTGCGTCGACCGGAAATGTAACRGGGAAAAAACACTAAAATATTTATTGTTCGTATTATTTGGTAAACAATAATAATATATTATAACATGCTAACATGGCGGCCGGAACAACAAATATATAATATGCGTCTATATATTGTGCACATGCCCTCCGACTTAACGAGATTCGTAGAAAAACAGCGAATCTAGGACAAAATGGCAGAGCACAACGACTACAGGTAGGATATGAGAGAGACAAAGGATCGGCCTAACCATGACAATTATAATTGTACGATAGGAGACAAAAGCCCCCGGTAATAATAATTATTACAAAGTACAAACGAATTATTATTGTATTACACACACATACACAGTCATCACTTGTGCTGCAGTAGTGGCAGGAGCAATAATATTGTTTTATGTATACTGTAGTGTACGTGTTTATAATAATTTGTTTATGTGCGTACMTATATTTAATAATATTATATTATACAACTAATATTGGCTTTGAATATTCTTCAACATCGTTAGTGCAGTATACAAAACTGTATAATACAAACGATATGGGCTTWTATTTTAATACGAGAAGTAAAGGGTAGTAAGTGTAGCTAAACTTCTAAATACCAGACACTTCAGGTCGCTAAAATTTTGTTCGTTATTCAGAGGATTTGAATTGTAGGAAATCTGTAGTTTTTTTTAAAAAAAACAACGCTATTAAAAATGTCAAAAAATGTAATATTTTATATTGAAATACTTATGAAGTGGTGTTTATGGACTTAACAGCCTCACTTTACGAGTACGCTTCATAGCCACCTCTTCTGTGAATAGGTACCACATGGATTACATATCGTTTTAAGTATTTATAAACAATAATTTTCAGTTTTTACACATTGTTAGTTGCTGAAAAACTAAATCATTACGTAAAAGTGTAGAAATTCTAAACTTCTAATTCGTGACTATACTTATAAATATTACCAATATTAAAAAGTTTCTTAAYTGTAAAAACAACAACACAAAAAGTTAATTTTTTCTAAATATTATATTTATTTAACCTAGCAATAAAAGTATTCGTCGTGTGCCAAAATCATCTTTATTTTTKCGAAAAATTTACCTAAGACAAATAAGTATTGATGATAAAAATAGTTTTCATCGTACTTAAATTTAAAATAATTAGAAAGATTGTTGTATTATATTTCTATTAGCGATATAGCAAACAATGACCCCAATCGTGAAATCTTATGTTGGTCTAGTAGTATCAWGTTGTGTTAATAGTGGTAGTGGTAATCTAAACCTATACCTATATTATGGATATAAATAAGTAAAAACAATTAAGTATCCAAATATCTTGCCGCTTTCCCCGATAACACTTACCAGTTTTGTCGTTGGTCAAGTTGTACCGTTCTTTAGCGGACGGACCGTTGGCGTAACTGAGCGTAGAGTACGGCATTTTGTCTGTTGAGGCGATATTTGGATGTCCCAGAATATCACTACCGCGGCTCGGGTAACCGTTGATAGTCATGGTATGTGAGTGATCGGATGTGACCACGATCAGAGTATCTTTTGAGGACGTCAACTCAGTGGCCCGTTCCACCGCCTTCGACAACATTACAGCCTCATCGAGAGCCAGCTGCGCCAGGTTACTGTGGTGCGCCCAGTCGATGAGTCCGCCCTCGACGAACAAATAGAAACCGTTGTCACCTTTTGATAGCACCTTAATGGCTGTTTCCGTCATTTCTACCAGCGTGGGCTCCTCGGACTTATTAGCGAGTAAGTTGTAGGACATATGACTGGGTGCAAATAGGCCTGCGAACACGTGAAATCAATGTGTATAATACGACGATGATAATATTTAAAAATCAAAAACCAGTATTTAATTTATCATCTATAAATAATCTATTAAATTTTTATAATTTCTAAATATTATCTGAGTCTAGTATAATAATATGTTGTTTTTTTTTTAAGTTAGAAAATTGTACAATCTGAATTTTAATGATTTTCAATAAGCGCAAGTAATTAAAGAACTAACATAGAACAGATATAGAACATATTATATCAATATGTATTTGATATTTTCATCATTTTCATTCATTTTTAAGGATTATTATTCTTAGTGGATATATTTTAATAACTATTCGTTCGGATTTTTATTAAATTACATAAATTATAAATTATATGTTTAACAATTAATAGGAAAAAAAAACTGTAGATTGTATGTTTGATAAATAGAAGTTGGCAATATTGATATAAGAAATCAATGAATTTCAAAAAATTATTCTAAAGAATGTATACTTGAAAGCCCTGAAGACCAAAATTTGAATAAATGTATTATTAAAGAAAAATTGATTGAGCAATATTTGTAAAGTGCTCTACATTAAGTGCGTGCAATCTGTTATTGGAAAAATCTAGTTGTAATATTACAGTATTATTAATAGAAAAATAAATTACTAATAGCAATAAAATAAAATATACATTATAATAAGAATCTTTAGACA